TAATCTCATCTCTGAAAAGAGAGAGCTAATGTGACAGGCTGTATTCAATTAATTATATAGACTATTTCATTACACTTCATAGATTTCACTAGAAGCTTCAATTCTCAGTTGCTAATTCTCAGCTGAAAAATTCATGGAATTTCTATTCTTCCGTCTTAAAGCTTCACTATGTATACATATAAATATTCATTTCAATCACTGATTCTCACACTTTCTCTTTCTTTTCTTCTCTAATGTTTTTCACTTTGTTATATAAGATCTATAAATATAATACCAATCTATTCAGCGTAGGCCTCTTACAAATGCTAATATATATTTAATCTTCATATTTATGTTTCTATCATAAATACTTCTAGTAGCTATTCATATCTATTATACTAAGCTGTAAATACCTGAACAATCATCTGTAAGTACTTATTCTTATACTTTAAGCTCTGTCAGTCAGTAATTACTCATTATAACTGAAAGAATTAAAAACTTATATACTTTAACTTCTATAAACTCTACTACAGATACTCAGAAGTACTTATCTGAATTATGAATAATCTCTGTAAAAGAAGTCTCAGAGAACTTACTAATTACTTATAAAATATTATTCTTTATATCTGTGATAGAGAAATTCTCTGCACTTATAAATAACTTAATCTCAGTAAAAAACATTCTTAAGTATCTCTTATAAAACTAAGCTATTTTTCTACAAGAAATACTTACTATCTATAAACACTCTTAAATCAAGTCTTTAAATATAATCTTCAGAGAATATCTATAAACTGAAAAGAAACTTTCTTAAGTTACAATTACTTAAGATTATCTATTAAATTATAATCTATAAAAGCTTTTACAAGTTTATGTTTAAAATTAACTTACAAGCTCAGCTATAAGATATAAAAGATGAAGAAGCTGTTATCTATATAATAATAGATCTTTGCTATACTGAAGTCAAGAATTGACTGAATTATTTAGAAAAGTAATTATAAGAGATTTCACTGATCTGTTTTTAAGATCTATTTAAAGAATAAGTTAGAACACTCTGTGAGTTAAATGAAGAATATCTGAACTATAATTACTAATATTGAAAAAAGAGATACGAAATGTGATAAAGACTACTCATAACACTTTATATAATTATAATATGAATTAAAATCTGTGAAAACAGAGTTCTGAAATAAAATCTGAATAGTAATATTTATAAATAAGTTAAATAAAGATATAACATACTCAATCACTTAACGCCCGCGTACACTCAACGCCCGTCCAATCTTTATTTTTTCCTCCATCTTCAACCACTGACAACATGCACCATGAAGCAGTTATACAAGCAGCAATTGATGATTTGAATGCACAATTGATCCCTAATTACACTGAGACTGCTAAAAAATATGGAATCAGTCAATATACATTATCACAGTGATATAGAGGTATTCAAACATTAAGAAAGAAAGCAAGCTCTACCCACTGCAAAAATCTCACAGATTCACAAGAAGAATGGCTTCTTTTTCATATTAATTGATTAACAGATCGCGGTTTCCCTTGTACACCTCAAATCCTTCATAATCTCATTGTTGAGATTCTAAAAGCATCTATTGAAATCAACTGAGTGTCACAATTCTGTCAGCACTATAAGAATGTAATCAAGTCACTCTATCTTTGAAATATCAACCAAAAATGCAAGATTGCAGACAATTCAACATATTTCAAGCATTATTTTGATCTTGTAATAGATTTGTTTCTTCTATTGATTTTTTACTTCTTACTAATTAATTTATAGCTACAGATAAAAATCACTCAATACAACATTGAACCTGTGAATATTTACAACTTTGATGAGAAAGGATTTGTATTGAGACTCATTCACATCCTCAAACATATCATATCAATTACTTCACTCAAATCAGGTCATATAATAGGTGCTAGTCAGAATGACAGTTGAGAATTCATAACACTACTTATCTCAATTTGTGCAGATGAAACTTTTCTCTCATCTGCTCTCATATATCAAGAAGAATCAAGAGATATGTAAGATACTTGACTGAAGAACTTTAATAGTGAAAAGAATCAGGTCTACTTTACTGCTTCAGCAAATAAATGAAGCATTGATGAATATGAATTAATATGATTAAAGAAGATCTTTGAATCTCTTATAAAAAGAAAGCAGAATGTGAATATAGACTTCTTATATTAGATGATCACTTCTCTCATGTTAATATGACATTCATCAATTATGCAGATTATCATTGAATTCTACTTACTGTTTTTCCTTCTTATTCTACACACTGATTACAGCTACTAGATGTTGGAATATTTTGAATTATTGAGTAAATTGGACTCCAATCAACTGAATGAATGAATGAGAACTGGAATGAGATTCATACACACTACAAAGAGGTGTTTTTGACAGCTATTTAATGCTGCATGGAAGGAAGCAGTTACATCTTCAAATATTATATTCACATTCACTACTACTGGCCTATATTTATTCAATTCAGAACAGATTCTTAAAAAGCTTGTAATACAGTCTTGCACCCCCTCAGATGCACAATATCAATCAAGAATTTCTACTTCTATTATTGACATGCAGAAATTGGTGAAGCAAGTCAAGCAGCAGCAGTATTGAATATCTAGTGATCTCAATCAGATGATCTGTGCAGAGGAAAATCTTGCTCTTGATAAAGAGATTCTTTTAATAGAGAACAGGCAGCTACAGCAAGCTCTTAATCAAGAGAGAAGACATTGCAAGTGTGACAGAGTAATGAGATTACTAGATTCTTCAAATTCATCATTGACACAGTTCTTTTCACCAGCAAAGGTGCAGATTATATGTGAGAAAATGATTTCTTCTGAAGCTGTTAAAAAGAATGAGCAAGCTTGTAAGAAGAATACCAAGTTGCAACACACTATTCTTAAGAAATAGAAAAAGACAGATATTATGAAGAAGAGAATAGAGCAGGAGGCAGCTTGTCAGACAGCAAAGCAGTAAAAAGATATGAATAAGGCTGCAAGAGCTGCTCAACAGCAGATTGAAAAGAAGCTTAGAGATGCAAGAAAGACTCAAGAGTAAAAAGAGAAGAAAGAATAAGCTGCTGTACAGCAGCAATCACAGTTGAATAAGGAAAAGATTGAAGAATTCAAAAATCATCTTTCTAATCAGAAAAGTAGACCCTCAATTTCACAAAGAGTAGCTAAATCACATTTTCAGAGCCTTGTCAGAATGCTCATGAATTCACTGCTGAAGAAATCTGATGATATTACAATCTTTACTGATTTAATGACTGCTTACTCACTGAATCTGTCTTCACTAGACTGACCGTGTGACCGTGTCTGAGATCAGAATCAAACTTTACAGTTGTCACATTGTCTAAAAGCATTACTTCTGATCATGATTTGTATTCATTACATTGATCTCAAATCATGTTATTTCAAATATTAAAGATCTCAGATTCACTTTTCAAATAAAAATCTAGTCTCAGATAAAGAATATATTTGAATTCTTAGTCACATTTTCATTCTGATCTCATTATTGAGAATGGTATTAAATAAGATCATGAAATTATTTCTCACTTACATAATATCATAATATAGTGCTCATTTGTTGAAAATTCAACAGAGAGTGTTATTAAATATCATTACTTTTCTGAATATATATCATAATTCATATAATTTTAATTATGAAAAAAATATAAAATACAAAAAAAAACAAAAAATAAAAAATAAAACAAAAACAAGAAAAAATCACAATAAAAAAAAAAAAAGAGAGAAAGAAAAAAATAAAAATAAAAGAAAAATAAAAAAATAAAAAATAAAAATAAAAAAAATCAAGATCACAGAACTGCAGTACTTTTAAAATACTCACTCTTTAGAGTCTTTATAATGTTTATTATTAACTGTGTATCTCTTGCAGTGAGAGTAACACAGCTGTGATGAGTCATTGTCTTAATATCATCTAATAAATAATCAGTATATATCTGTATAAATGTGAATAATTAGAAAATATACACTTAAAAAGTGTGATCAGAGTGAACTCTGCTATCACTTGAATAATATTAAGAGCAGAACACTGAAATCAATGATTTCTCTCATTAATTTCATAAACAATGTGTGTGAAGATGATCTTGAGAAATATAAAATTTCTCAACTTCTCATAAAAACAGATCTCACAGAGAGACTCTATTTTCATGATATCAGAGACTGAGTATTATTAAAAAGCATTACTTTTATGCAATATATATACACTTACTGCAGTGATTCACTCTCTGTATATATAGCTGAAAGTTGTGACTTTCTTATACTCACAGCTCTCTCTGAGATGCTGCTGTCAGTTTGCAACTCATACAGTCTCTCAGTTCAGCATACACTGCATG